GTTTACTCAAATAAAGTACGCCTTAAAAGGTTATCCCAAAAAGTAAAGTTTGTTAGATTAATTACAGGGACAGAATTTTGGAAATTATTGCGATGCTGCGTGCCGCTGCTACTCTGTCATTGGACGGTTTTCAAAGTTTCTAATGCTTTGCAGTCCATCGGAACAAGATCACTTCTGTCTGAGTGTTCGTTCGTTTTTTCTATTCTTTTTTACAACTCTCGGGAAACCTATGTTGTTCCCAAAGCATTAGAAACTCTGAAAACCGGTCCAGTATCAGAGTGGCAGCGGCATGTTGCATAGCGATAATATTCAGAATTCCGTCCCGGTAACGAATTTAATCAACCAACATCATTTTTTAGAACAGCCTTTTCAGGCGTACTTGGTTTCAGCAGACAAAGTTTTTATGTGCAATTTAAGAATTGTATGAAGCTATTAAGCACGTTGGCGAACATGCGCCCCCTCTGCTGACGCGCATGCTTTTTGCCGCGTGGGACATTTGCGTCCCACAGCTGGGATGCGGCATGGGTAAAAAACCAATTTAAAAACCTTTCAAATTTTCGAAAGCTACATATTGTACAGGAAGGCATTGTAGAATATACAGTAGCTGCAAAACAAGCAGTTGTGTCATTGAGAGTATTTTACCGAGGAGACAAACGAAAGTGATTCTTAGAAAAAAAAGATAATTCTTGGATATGTAGAACTGAAGCTCCGCATGGCAGATAGCTAATGGGATAAGGTTAGCGAAGCCTTGCTAGCTTCCGCAATGAATTCTGACCATTCTTCAATTTTTTTGGCGTATAAACGCCCTAGCATTTATGCGCATTCTTCGAAAATAGGGAAAAACTGCTTTGTCCCACGCGGCAGACACGCGAAAAGGCGCCTTGTCGCCAATGTGTTAAAAAGCGCGCGACTTGGGCTTGTTCCAAGTTATTTTGGCGCGACTGTATAACACATTTACAAATACTCCCTTTTTGGGATGCGGTGTGGCCTATCCAATGATTTGCGGGACTGGTACCAACTTACCGTCACCCGGGGAGGGGGTAGAAATCTTGATTGGGCTGGGCGGGAGCCGATACGGGATTTAATCCCCCACCGTGAGCGTGGTATGCGTCTCACTTGCCATTACAGCACTATCCCTCATGAAGTGGATACATAATCATAATAGATAGGGATATTATCTAAATATGGGAATGGAAGTGTACTCAGCGCATGAGACACCTGTTGGCGATATTTGGGGTGCTAGGAGTGCAAGAAGAAGGTTCTCATGGAAGCAAAAGACCTTTCTTGAAGAGAGATACGTTTGGCTAGTGAACCCCTTTATTCATTATTTTCGGCTGCTTATATAGCCTAGATTTTAATATAAAAGTCTCATTAAAAGGCTTCGTGACAAATCATATGTGGAAGGCAAAACACATATGGAAGGTGATTCAGTCAGTGGGAAGATATGAACACGTCAAAGGTTACATAATAAAAAGTGATTCAAGCAAGAAGAATTCTGCGCATGCATGATAAATAGTACTTTCAGTTGCTACCACAATTCGTACGATTAACAGAAGAAGACCACCGTAGAGTCTCAGAAGTTCGGGAACGTTCCAGTGAAACATTCATCAGTACGTACTCAGAAACCGTTTAAAGTGCACGGTGGGCCTTTCAGAGCAAGAGAGTTCGTGTTTCCGTGAAGCGCAGTTTCTCAACCTCAAATATCATCCCAAAAGTTGATGAGAACTTTTTATTTTACTGAAAGTACCCACAAAAGCAAATTGTTCATGTGTTTCTCGGCAAACTGGCAGATATCGCCAGTATAAAAGAAGGGTAAAGATTGCTGTGTATCAATCCATTCAAGGGATACGACACGTACTCCAACTCCATTTGGAATCGTAGTGGATTGTTAAGTGCGAAATATGGACGTGTAATAGCGTGCTGGCGCAGCTGTATGGCACGAGACAGTGTTTATCCTACACGACAAATGTGGTGTCAATTTATCGGCTCTGCAGGATAGAACCCTTTGTTAAGAGCAGTTCGGCGGCGGGGGAATGAGGGGGGGGGGCTTTTGCACTTTTGCTGCTTCCCATCAATGTATCCACCCATCTAGAGAGCCTTTCCTTGGGCTGTATTACCATGGTGGCTGAATGAGCTTGCTCCAGCTTCACTAGAGCTCGCAGAAATGCACCAGAGTGAGACTTGAAAACCGGAACTATTGGACCACTGAAGCAGGGAACCACTGCCAGTACCGCACTTCTTCTCATCCACCAGTATGTTAGTCCCCGGCACTGGTTAATGCACGTCGGACGTAATCCTACGGTAATTTATCTGTCTCTCAGCGCGGGTATCATGCAGCGTAAGTAAGGCCCACACAAAATCTTTACCCCCTCAGTGCGATCTCCCAAACTTAACTCGCCCCCCCATCACTTTCTATGCAGCTCGTTACAAATTTTAATCGCTTTTTTTCCAAGAAATTAAGTGTTGAGCGGCTGGCGTGTGGGGTCTCGGGTATACAGCGCCGCGTGAAACGAGAACAATCAACAAACGGGAAAATTTGCTTCTTCCTTCGAAAAAACATAGCTCTTCGTGGGTTTAGAGTACTGCCCACCCCCCACCGAGTAAGATCGATAATGTTTGTATGGGATTGTCGCCAACCACGGACGCTTATACCCTGCTCTCAAAGAGGCGCTGCCTGCCTCTCTCAGTTTGCGTCACACACGCGTCCAATAATCAGCCTAACGACCTCGGCACTATATTTCACAATTTTAGTTTTGATATTTTCCAATGTTTTCCAGAGCACAGGCATCTCAAAGCATCACCTCTAAAATATTAATTCACATCCATCCTAGGTTCTCAGCTTGTATCGTGATCTCCTGCGTTACTCGAAGACGCTGAAGTACACTGATCGGGACTATTTCACTTCGAGAGTTCGCGAAGCTTTCGAGCGTAGCAAACGAGATTCGCCAGCAACTTCTATGCACAATTTTAATGTGAGGGATTGTTCAGTATTCTTCTGTTGGTAATTCCTGTGCAGTTCATACCTCTCGATTGTTTTGTTCAAGCCAAATGATTACAAATATACTCGAAATCCCTGAGATCGGGTAGGCGTGGCCGTATTTTTCAACTTAACCTGAAGGTGTCTATGCTTCTGGTGAGATATTTTCATCTCGACACAACGGTGCCGTGTCTCAGTCCCAGACAAAAAGAACAAGATGTCAGTTTGGCCCAAGTGGAATATCCCACGAGGTAACCAATTCGTGCGCATGTCAATGCCAGCCTACTTGGCTCAGGGATAAAGCGAGGTAATTCATCATGTGACCTTTACTGAGAGCTTCTCACAAGATTGTGAGCCGCATGTTTTTTCATTATCACTTTAGCATTCGCTTCTTCACCTATTTTCAGAGGGGGCAACAGCTACTACAATTGAAACGTTTCATTTGAGACCATGGTTTGCGTGCTAGGTATTGAAGGGTCAGCGAATAAGATTGGGGTAAGTCATTGCGCCACAGGTAAACACCTATTTTGGTCTCATATACGCTTTTGGGCTCGATGTTTTATTTCTGCAGGTTGGCATAATACGAGACGGTGAAGTGCTATCTAACCCACGTGCAACTTTCCATGCACCACCTGGTGAAGGTTTCCGACCGAGCGAAACAGCACAACACCATCGTCAACATGTATGTGACGTCTTTACTGTTCTTTTTTGCAGGAAGTTGTTGTGAAAACCATTTTCTTTTGATTTAGATCCTAAAGATACTCAGCAAAGCTCTCGATGAGGCCGGTATCAAGGAACCTGAGAAGGAAATTGATGCAATTGCGTACACCAAAGGGCGCAAGGATCGGGAGCACCTATTACAGGTTTGTTTTGTTCTCCGTTGTTGATTTATGAGAAATTCCAAGGAAAATACTGCTAAAGACTGAAACTTGTAAATCAGAGGTTTGGTGTGGCATGGTTGCACGCACACTATCTTTGTCGTGGTCTTTGCCACTGATTCCCGTCAATCACTGCATCGGTCACATTGAAATGGGTAGACTCATAACTGGTGCAGATAATCCTGTGGTACTGTATGTTAGCGGCGGAAACACGCAGGTGAGGTTATTTCTATCTGCTCTTTCTTTAGTTTCTGAAAGCAACCATCGTTCAGGTCATCTCTTATTCGCATAAACAGATATCGTGTGTTTGGAGAGACCATAGATATTGCTGTTGGTAACTGTCTTGACCGGTTTGCTCGAGTCGTTAAACTTCCGAACGATCCCAGCCCAGGGTATAATATAGAACAAGCAGCCAAGAAAGGTACTCTTTGATTCACCGATAGCGAGAATCTTTTCTGATTGAAGTTATTGTTCAATAAAAAAATCATATCATCGAAAATGAGCCGCATTAAGAAATTCGAAAGATGGCGAACGGATCTCAAACCTGTTGAAGAAATCCATTTATAGAGAACTTTGGAAGTTATAGTTATAACTTTCGTATCGCGCAATGCGGCATTAAACAGCAGTTATCAAATAATTACAGCTTAAAAGACTTCGGAGGTGTTGTTGGGCGAAGTGCTCCCTTGAAGCAAGCTGCTAGAAGTCTGCACTTGTCCTACAGTCGTCAAATAGCCACTCTTCAATCACTGTGACAAATGGCTGTCATGCTCAACTTTCTTGCGCCTATTCTGCGCTGTTTTTGCTGTGGTTTCTAGAGGAGGCAAGCGTTCCGGATCAACCAGGTTTTATGTCAGAGTGAAGGTGGAGGTTCCCCCGTGATCATGCTTGTCCGCTGTTAACTACCCGCCATCGGTAATGGTGGTTCAAATCTGAATTGCATCGAATCCTTGGTTGGACCCGTCCCAGGCCCTAACAGGCCATTTCAAGTCTATGAGGATACAACACCTGCGTGTGAATTGTGCCTAGGTCATTGAAATGGCCCAACCCTATTCAATCCTAATATCACGAATCGATTATTCGATTTTGAATATAACTGAAACATGAGGAGCATCATAAAAGAGACTGATATGCGGTGGTTGCCGAATGCTTTATGCCTATCCTTTAGCTGGGATAGAGTACGTAGCAAGCGCGGATTCTATTTCAAGAAAAAGAGAGCTGCAGTTAATACCCCGCTTATAACTCAAAGTTAGGGAGAGGTGGGATCGAAGAGCTTATACCTAGTCGTTTCAGTATCTGGTAAAACCCTGCTCTTTCTTGTGGGAGTGGAGTTGGTGGTTCAGTAATCTTTCGCTCTGAGAATCTATCCACTCCACCGAACGCCAGCACTTTTTATCGGTTTTCGCTGGTAGAAATAGATGGCTTTACGCCTGACAATGAGCTATTCGAATATTGCCTAAGTTTCGACTCCCTTATTCACAGTACTCATTACTTCGCCATCATTTCTATCATCCTGCAATAGAAAAGCTACATAACATGTTCCGCGGTTCTAAAAATAGTTCAAGAGTGTGTTCCACTAGATGCTGTTCAGGAAAGAAACTCCTGGATTTGCCGTATACAGTGAAAGGAATGGACGTTTCATTTTCTGGTATACTTTCCACGATCGAGAGCAAAGCGCCACAGGTTTTAGCATCAGGAGAGTTCACCGTCGAAGATCTCTGCTTTTCTCTGCAAGTAAGCTTTTTTAAAGCACATATTTCTTCCTTAATAATCTATGTGGACAAAAAAAGTTAAGGTTTTTGCCGATGATCAATCCCTTCGCGGGATGCGACACGCATTCTGCTTCTATTCAGAATCGCAGTGGCTTATCGAATGCGTGGATGTGGCTTGTCGGATGTGGCTACGCAATGACTTGGGGAGGGGGGCATTGGATGTACAAGTCAGTGCTCTTATCCTCCCTGACGAATCTGATATCACGTTCTTGGCGGTAAAAGGTTTGGTTGGGTTGGGCGGGACAAGACCCGGGATTTAAAACGAGGTTCGCGCGAGTGGTAAGCGCAATAGTTGTCACACACCACCTCCGCATCAGTCTATTCAGCGTATTTGCCGATTAATAGTTTTCTTTTTATACGTTTGTTTTTTGTCGTGGGATTGCTGTTTTTATGGCCTGCCACGATTTCGTCTTGTTGAAAGTCATCACAGGAGTGCTGAAGTATGGGCAAAAGTCTTGACTTAAGGCGAGGCTCGAGACCGCTCTTCACGTTTTCCTGGTGAGTGCGCTACCAGTTGCGCCACCGGGGCCTATCAGTTCAGTGGCTTTTGTGCCATAGTCTTACTCCCCTCGTTCAACGTGATGAGCCACTTAGTCGATATCGGCAGTGAACCACGGGGCGGGAAATTTCACATGTTTTGAAGTTGTTTCGCTATGATAACTGCTGTTTAATGCCAGGGGATGCGGTTTCGGTCGCGTTCGGTGTCAAGACTTTTGTCCATAACTCAGCATTATTTGTTGTTTCTCCAAGCAGATAAGCATATTGTTGTTTCAGGAGACGGTGTTCGCAATGCTGGTGGAAATAACGGAAAGAGCAATGGCGCATACAGGAAGCAGAGAGCTGCTCATTGTTGGAGGAGTTGGATGCAAGCAAGAGACTGCAGTACCTCAGGTCAGCAACCATGCGAGAAAGGGCACACCATTTGTTGGGATTTCGGTCGAGTCCATACGGCCTCACCCCTCCCTAAAAGGTGGCTTGATACAACTCCCCTCCGCATCGAGCTGTCGGGGCGTGGGGCGGGGGGTTTATGTTAGCGCGTGTGAAAGCGGGGGAAAACCACTGCGATAATACTACTTACCCCTCTGCTAATCGCTACGCTGACCACATTTAATGGATTTTCCCTACTTCCTACCAATTTCCCGAATTCTCGCCAATACGTCCAAAAGAACTCCTCCTGTTTATAGGTCCCTGAAGAAATCATACGTGTTCGGTCAACTGATGGTGTGCCCTGATGCGAGGTTTCAAATGTTCCTGTCATACCATCCATAGCCGCAAATCTTGGGTGTGATTCTGCGTTTTCGAGGAAATGGCGAGTTCTATGTGCGCTGAGCGTGGTGCCCACCTCTTCGCCACAGACGAACGTTTCTGCATTGACAACGGGGCGATGATAGCGCAAGCTGGGTGCCTTATGCATGAGGCAGGGCTCAAATGCGAGGTATTGCTGTACCTTATTTAAAAGTGTTGTCAATACGGATGACAATGTTCAAAGTCAATAGAGTGACTAAGGTAAGGCCCAACGTATTACTTTCAGCTGGAAAAATCCACGATCACTCAACGTTATCGTACTGATGATGTCAACGTTTGTTGGAGAGACAAATAAGGATGTGCACTAAAGAGGTTCAAAGTGATAGCACCAATCAGTGCCTTCTCATCATAAGTGTATGCTGTAGAATTTCCCAAGAACAATGTTTACAGTATTATTAAAACATTCGTGGTTCAGGTCCTCGAGCTTCGCACGAGTTGTCCTATCGCATAGGACAAGTCGTGGCAGAGGCTCGAGGACCTGTTCCACTGGACCACTCTCTTCATGCTAGTCTTGTCGTCCTGGTGTAGTGAAACGCTAGGGAACGATTTTGCGCTCGCAGTTCTCCAGTCCGACTTTTGCATAAGTGCTTGCAGAATTGGTGCTCGCAGTTCCCTTTAGATTTGCAAAAAAAGGTAGGTCTGAAGTCTGAGGTCCAACAAGGCTCTAAAGTCATCACTTAATCGGCCCATTTTATTTGGCGTTTTCTGTTTCTCTCTGTTATCTAACATTCCATTCTATCTCTTGGAGTCATTGTGGACGATCTCCGATTTCAGGGTTGCTTCACTTCGCGCTTCACAGTGATGCAAGGGCGTCCGTCGCAACGAGCCAAAAGGACGCCAAACGTACAAGGTGGCTTGACTCTTCTGCGTTGCTTCACTTCCTGGAAGATCCGGCATTTGTCTGTTTTAAGTCGTCCTCGTACCTCATCTCCCCCTGTTCTCTCCCTCTGTTTCTCAGCGGGCCGGGAAGGGTGGGGTCGTGCATGTACCCCTATAAGTCTGGTCACCATAACCCGCAAGCGGAATATCTCTCCCTGGCGACGGTGCAAATGTCTAAAAAAAGTTAAATATATTTATTTAAGTATCGTATACTATTAAACTAGGTTTGTAAATCGCTGCATTTCAGTGATTCTGTTAGGCCAGTCTGCTTTTCTAAATATATCACTAGAAAATGTTGAAACTTTCACAAAATATGACTTCAAAAAAGTTCCACGACACCGCCGAAATAAGGAACTAAGAGGACAATTGACAAAACTCAGAATCCCCCTCATGTTGAAAGTGTCCTTGATACCTCTGTAAACGGAGAAAAGCCTGTGTGGCTGGATGAGCTGAGGCTTGCTGCGCTCCCCCAGCGGGGCCCTGCCTCTTCGTATTCACGTCCATTTCTGGGCTTTGTGCATAGGTGGCGTCTCCAAACAGTTTTGCCCCCTGTTTCCTTCAGCCAACTGGTATCTATAAACTCATATCTGAACCTGGACCGCAAAGCCCCAAGTACTGATATTGAATTGGGAGGTTTTTTGTCAAGCATAATGTGGCCTACTTACATTTTTAAATTTGGCAGAATTCTCAGAAAAGCTAAGTTTTCTAATGAATTTATTGAACGAAGCGATAAGGGCACAGAGAAAAACAGCACTGAACTGGACATGGTTTTTTTTACACGGGTAGCAGAAAGGTGGATTGCCTTCTCCGTTGTCGTCTTTATATTGTTCTGTAGTTATAGATGTTTTGAGGGAAGGTGTGAATAATCTGCTAACTTCACAAATATTTTTACAAAAGTTGTTTTGTTATGGTTGTTGACTTTGAATATTCCTTAATTTCGCTCGTTTATTTTTTTCGAATAAATCCAACTCCTAAATTGTCATTGATAACAATCGTCACATGACTTCTAATACGATCTTATGCTGGGCAAAAGTATTTTCTTGGATGCACAATTTATGGGGATTGAAGACTTCGGCCCCTCCAGATTCAAGAAAGGCGAATGTTTACAGAAGTTGAGAGGTCCAAGTACAGACATTTCATAATGAGGCGAAAGCAAGTATAGTTGATATCACTGCAATCAGTCGGTCGTAGACAATTGTTCCAACTTTTCGTTTTCACAATTTCCATCATTGGTTGTTTGTTCCTAAACGATCACTACCCGGTCATCATTGCAGTGGATCATATGATAACAGGAGACGTTCCGGACAGTGGTTGGATGCCGACGAACCACCGAGGCAATTTCCAAAGCCGAATCCTCACGAAAAAAGATTATGGTCACAGTGTGGTGGTCATCGGCTGGTGTGATCCACTATAACTTTTTGTCACCAGGCCAAACCATCACAGCAGAGTCCTACTGTGAAGAAATCGACGAAATGTACCGAAAATTGCGTCAGCTTGTCAACGATTCTTTTGCATGACAACGCCCGCCCACACGTTTCACAAATCACTATCCATAAATTGAACGAATTGGGGGTTGAAGTTCTACCTCACCCGCCATATTCTCCAGACCTTTCACCAACCGACTATCACCTTTTCAAACATTTTCAGAACTTCCTTGCTGGAAAATACTTCATCAATCAGGACCAGGCAAAAAACCTTCGTAACCACCCAGTTTTTTCTCTGATGGGATTTATCGACTGGTGTCACATTGGCAAAAGTGTGCTGATTCGAACGGTGCTTATTTCGATTAAATCCGATGAGTATTAAGAAAGTTATGATCGTTTAAAGTGAAACACTCAAAACGCTGAGAACTTTCCGGACAACCTAATAAAATTTGTCAATTCAAGAAAAGGCTCCAATTAGGTAGACACGTCGATGGGAGGTAGCAAAGACGCAAAATACCCCACCCGTCGTCGCCGAATTGCTCCGTAAATCACTCCCCCACCCCCTCCCGAAACCAGGCTGTCTTCTATTCTATTCCATAAAATTGTGAATTCAGTTGGAATCCTCCCACCATCGACAAAACTTTTAGCACAGCGGTTCTGCTTAATGAGAGGATATCAACATCATACCTCGATACGTTTCATAGAAACGTGATGGTACGAAGCAAGTTACACTGGACTGACAGAGGAGTCGATCAAGAAGTATCTGCACAAATAACCTTGTCACGTGCTACAAATTATAATTAAATCAATATTTAATAAATCCAGGAGTGCAGCGGAAGCTTATAACCATGACCAAAAGTTCACCCATAAATAGTGAAAATTTAATCAAAATATAAAAGAAAAGACATTCCCACACGAAATATTGAAATGTGATGAACGGATTAATGAGTGAAACAGCAATACACGGTCGAAGGCTACACGTTTTGTTAATATTACCGTAAAATGGAGCTAGATCTCCAGCGTAGGTTCAAACGGTATTCGTAACATCACGACAAGACATGGAGAATACTTGAACGGATCACTCCTGGTCAATCTATCACAAGTGACATATAACGGTTAATAAACGCGGATACATGAAAAAAGCTAAAGATCACAAGGACGCTTCAGAATGAAAAATACACAGTCAAAGACGCTCGGTGCTTGGACACATTGAAAGGAAGCTACTGGAAATGTCAGCACCATAAAAATCCATATAAACCAATCTCTTACGCGGAATGGCTCATTTTCTGTACACTGGAAGAGGCTCGCATAACAAATCTCCGACAAAACCTGTTTCGCTGAACCTCAGCATACATATTCAAGTCAATGCACTCAGATTGGCCCAAGCACGGTGCTCAACTTTACCATCCAGAATTTGATAAAATTATAGGAAAGGTAGAGAACAACCAGATACGCAAGCGCCCACGCACCGTACATAATTGGATGTTGAGAGGCCTACAACGTCAAAGAAGTAATAATTTTAAACCAAAATGAAGTGAAAGAAAATTTGGGATTTTTTCCACTAATATTACTCCAAAAACTCACAAAAATTTCTTCGCTGAAACTCCACCTATAGATGCTACTCGTTGTTCTACTCATGAATATGATGTATATGAACATACAACAATTCCTGACGCTGGCACCATTTCGCGCCAAATGTGGCGCGACCACCTTCTTCACCAAATCCGATAAGAACTTGCATATTAAATGATATCCTGCTTACGAAAATGACGTTCTTTCTTGGACACCAGCGAAATTTAGCGCTCCGCTAAGACTGAGCTTGGGAGGAGGGGTGGTTCCCTTCCCGCAAGGCTCAGCCTTAACGGAGCGCGGATGACTAGAGTGCCTACTACACTGGCGCCCCCGACTGTCAAGAACGAGAGAGAGATACTGGCACCATTTGGCCAATGGCGCCAGCGTTATAAAACGAGCAATGACTATCGTGATTCAGGATGCGAGCAATCGCCCCGTATACAAGTTTTCAGCAATTTCGGTGAGAAAAGTGGTGGCACCAAACGGCCTTAGCGTCTTATAATGAATTTCATATTCGTGAACGGGCACTGAACTACCCTCTGTGGACGAAGTTTCAGCGAAAAATATTCGAGTATTTAAAGTAGTATGGTGGAAGTAGCGTCAAAATTTGCAGTAAACTGAACTTACAGTAGACGTTGTCATTATAGTTAACAGTACGCTGAACAGAAGGGCAGTGACTGCCGTGACAAGGTATATGAGAGCACGGCGTCGAGCGAAACCACCGACAGTTGAGCTGCAATCACGCAAGTAATAATGAAAAATAACTTATCCCGACCTTGGAAACTTTTGCTAACTATTTCGCTACTCGTTTCAATTCGTTTGCTTTTGCGCTGATCCTTTCTATTCAAATTTGAAACCAACAGAACAGCACAGCAAGTTCTCGTTTCTCGGCGAATATCCACTGATACTTTAAATACTTGAAGCTCTCCCGCACTGCAAACTTTCACTACAAAGTTCTTCTTTCTTCTCTTTTCTGCGGTTCGTGAAATCGTCGACCCTATCCCTAGATCCATTTTGGTTTGTTCATCGATAATTCCTACCGCTCTCAAGAAACTTCTGCAATCTACCG